GAGACTTCCGAAAAAGTACTTTAAACTGTATAAATTACGACTTTGATAAATTGTGTAACCTGTTCTATTTTTAGGTACGTTCCCTCCTGTTCTTAATATATACTGTAATGATAAAATAGCCAATAAAAAGCATAGCCGAAAGTTTTAGTACGTACTAAATATTCAGACTTTAAATAGTTTTTTTTTTTTTGATTTCTTATTAACAAGTTTTAAGAACTATGGTGCAGACAGTCTAGTTAAATAACGTTTTCTTTATGTTAATGCAGAAACTTTTAATTAAAAATTAAACTGTCTAATAAAAGTTTAAAACAATCACATAATAGTTACTATGTAATTTCGCGCGAAAATATAATATCATGATTAATTCGCGCGAGGATGATACCAGCATCTCTCGTCTGGGCACATCCCTAGATACTGCTAGATTACTCACCATATTTTAAAACATATATCACGCAAAAATAAGAATATTTAGCATATCGTGGACGATTTTTATTTTGACAAAAAAGCATTATTTAATCTATTTAATTTTTCTAAGTAAAAAGCTAAGAAAATATATTAATGATTTTTCATAAATCTATTATGGGTGTTTGGAGACACTAGAACATGCCAAAAAAGGCTTTCGATACTGCATATATGTTACGGGTCAAATTGGTTTTTTAGGTCAAGTTAAACTTGATCCGGGTCAAATTGATCTCTAGCAGAATTTTAGGGTTAGGGCAAGTGATGCAAATTGGATCCGCGCAGCGTACATAGATTTAAATTTGCGCATATATCAGCGCTCTCCGTATATATAAAGCGTGTATAAATGTGCATATTTTTGTTGCGTTTGCGCCAATAAAAATTTTTTGAATTTATAACACTGGTTAGGGCGGGCCGGAATTATGTTGATGCCGGCCGGGGGTTTTTAATTGATCAATTCGACCTGGGTCAAGTTTAACTTGACCTATAAGCCAATTTGACCCATAACATATATACCTACTAAGATAAGACGTATCTAAATAATTGTCAAAATAGCTAATTTCTTATATTTTACTTAGCTAAATTGTATATTAATTGTCCAAAATGATCATTTAAATTGCTATGTAAATCTAAATCCCGATATTAAATTATTACGATTATTTAAAAAAGCTATCTAAAAAGTTTCTAACATATTTAATTGTAAAATTTTGACAAAAATTGTACACATCATAAATGATAATACAGTATTAGTATTGTTTTAACACCTAACACCTTAATTTTACAGGAAAAACAATTATTGGTAATACTATATGAAATATGCGTGTTCTATCACAAAGTCCTTTACAAAACCCCAAACCCTAATACAACTGGGCTAGAAGGACTATGTATTGCATTCTCCTTTAGGCTCGTCGTTTCCTCTGGACTTAACTGCAATATTGTTGATATAACAGGGACTAATGGCTAGATAAAAAATAAAAATGTGAATTTATATAACCCAAAATGTTCAAATAGTGATGACTGAATTAAATACCTCACGATCCATAGGATTGGTTTCAAAAAATTTAAGTACAACATTCTTTAAATATTCCACGTTTAAATTTTGCCGTTTTTCTAAACGATCTAATTTCCTGATTTCTTCCTTCAAAAACTAAATCAAAGAATGAATACAATTTCAAATGAATATATTTGAATGTAAAATATTGCATTATATTAACTATAAAAACAACCTTTTCTTGCTCAAGTAATTTCTGTACTTGTGATTCACTTTCGTTTAACATTTCTGCCATATGTTTTAACTTCATTATATAATCCTTTTCCTTATCAGCTGATTCTAGCGCTGAATTCGATACCATGGATGTTCGTCCTTCCATATCAGATAGAAGGTCTGATAATGAATCTAAATATATAAAATCTTGTAAATCACAAATCTAAAAACCATAGGTTTATATTAAAATAATATTTACTATGAGTAGAATTAGATCGACTTAATGTCCTTAATGAAGGTGACGGCGATGAAGGTCGGCTATCGTCCTTTCGAATACTTGTACGTATAGCTAATGGAGCTCTTGCAGCTGCAAGCTGCTTTTTGAGGTCATCAACTTGTTCGGTACATTGTGATAGTTCTTCTCGCAACTTTGTCAGCTCTTCACTAAGTTGCTATATAAATAGAAATAATAGTTATAATAAATCAACATTTACGTTAAAATATTAATTAGATAATGACCTACTTCTGATATTGATTGCAATTGCTCATTTTCTTCTAGTTTTTGTTGAAGATTTTTCTTGATTGCATCTGTTGACTTTGAGAGCTTATCATCAAAATCCTTAGCACTGATTGCATAATTAGCATTAGCTTCACGCAAAGCTAAATTCACGATGAAAATATAGGCATTCGTCAAAATATATTCAATATATAAGAAAAGTATAATTACGTAACTGGTCAATGGTAAAATAAAACAAACTAACCAACCTTCCTGTAAGGTAGTATTTTCCTTTGAAAGTTTCTGTAATTTCTCCTGTATATCTTTAACAGAATCCGCATTTTCACGTGCAGTCTTTTGTGCTTTCTCAAGTTCTTTTTCAAGATGGGCATTCAGTTCGAGTGCATGTTTAAGATCATTTTTCACCGCTTTAATGCTATCATGTGCGTATTTTAACTCGGTGGCTTTAAAGCTGTA